AATCATATTAGCACATGTCAGAAAATTCCATGTAGTTAAACATGAATTGCATTTAGCAAATTATGCTATCTTGCCCATGTTAATACATAAATTGTAATATTGAGCATTTCTATTAATACTGTGTGCGTGCGTGTTATTACTAATATAATTTATTTCAGGAGCAGCATCAAAGTTACACTAGTCCTCACCATGCGTCAGTGACAGATAGTGAGCTAATAGACGACTTGTTGATTATAAATCTTGGATGAGTTGACTACTGGACTCAATACATACAAACTGGATGGCATGCCACGAGCGTGGATGTAGCACGTTTCCTGATAAGCTAAACTTAGCTTAGCATTAGCTCGTGAGCTCTACTTACCCTTCTTTGTGCAACTTCAAATGTCGAACAAAGTTGGAAGTTGTTGCGTCTCGGTCCGTAATCTTCGACCCACATGTTCTGCATACTGCAATTCATTTTTTGTTGACCACTTCATAGTTTTTGTACCCGAATGAAATTATCTTTTGTACCATAGTTGCAGAGTGCTGCTTTGTTTACCTTCCTGGATTCATTTGATTGGCTACTGTGCTGACAGGTCACACATACATACACACAGGTGCAGAGAGAGAGGGGGAGGAGTGAAATGAATGGATTAGTGCACGCATTTAAAAATGTTTTAATATTTGGGTTTGTATCAAGTCTTTTCAAGTCAAAGGGCTCAAGTCCGAGTTAAGTCACAAGTCATTGGTTTTAAAGTCCAAGTCGAGTTGCAAGTCTTTTTACATTTTTTCAATTCGAGTCTAAAGTCATCAAATTAATGACTCGAGTTGAGTCCACACCTCTGCATCATACACTGAGCTTCCAAGGCACCAGGAAGTATTAGACATATATATTAAATAAGATTACATAAAATGTAACAACACAGCTCATGTATACGATATAATACAGATTAGGTTTCCCACAGTGCAGTGAATAAGGCAACTGTACTGAGAGACAACTATAGTCATAATGTACACAATAGAAATGCTTAATAAAGTCACAGAGCTTTTTATTCTTTCATGTGCTAAATTGTGCTTTGTGATTTATTGTTTCAAACAGGCCAGAAGACTTCACAGCCTCCAACCCGGTTCGGATTCTGTGTCAGCCGGCCAATTGACATTTTCACTGAGGTGTAGCTGGGTAACCACCACCTTTGCTCTCCATATAAGAACTTCCTGTCTGCTGTTACAGGAACCTGTCATCTTGGTGCACACTACCCGTCCCCTCCAGAGACATTTCACCCGCTCCACTATTAAATGAGGATTGCCCAAATCATTTAATGCCCTATGGCAAGTGAGAAATCCTTGGTTGAAGAGTTGATGATCCTGTTACTAAAGTGAGGTGCTCTAGACATATTTCTGAAGACTTGTCGTGGCCATTCACGGAGTAAAAACACCACCAAAGCCCAAAAACACCTAAAGATCATCTTCATTGAGAATTATGCCCTTTCCATCTCCTCTCTCTTCACCCTGCTCTGTGTTTTTCATTGGACTGCTGCTTCTCGTCTACTGGGGGCCGTCACAGGTCAGTTGCCAGAATGACACTGAGCCCATTGTGTTAGAGGGAAAGTGTCTGGTGGTGTGCGACTCCACCCCCTCTGCAGAGCCATCTGGTAATGCTCTGGGCATGTCGGTGAGGTCAGGAACTGGACGAGTGGCGTTCTCAGCCATCCGAAACACCAACCATGAACCTTCAGAGATGAGCAACCGCACCATGACTATCTACTTTGACCAGGTGGGTTTCAGCAGTGTGTGTGTGTGTGTGTGTGTGTATGTGTGTGTGTGTGTGTGTGTGTGTGTGTGTGTGTGTGTGTGTGTGTGTGTGTGTGTGTGCACAGCATTAATTAACATTGGCTGAAGGAGCAATGAGTAAGATCCTTACCTCTCCATACAGCACAGCAAAGAAGCAAATTGAAAAGTTGAATGACAGGTTGATGTGTTTTCTGTTGATCAGTGGCTATTAGACTTTTTTGTTCTCCAGATGTTACATAATTTTCTCAAAACTGACCTTTATACTCACAAATACACCCAAAGTTGGTGAAATGAATTGGACGTTTGTTTATAAAACTACAAACAAAATTACACCTCACCCCTCCTACTATAGGCTTCTGCAGTGCAATGATCTTTCCTTCTGATTTGAAGTCAGAAAAACAAGGAAACTATTTTCAAGTTCGGTAAATTACATCTCAAACTATCCATCAAACTCATTTCAATCCACAGTGCTGGTTGTTCAGGATTAATTCATTTCTAAATAAAAGCAGCGCTCTTTTCTGCAAATCAACCCAAACATTGCACCCATGGCTGGTCATTGAACATCATTCCAAAATCACCTGCTGCTGTAACAGCTTCTGTACATTTGTATACATTTCCCTTCTCTCCTCCCTATTTTGGCATCCTTGAACAGGGATGCCTTAAAACACATATTGCATGAGACCAAAGAAATGTCTGTGGTGCAGCATTTCTTCTTTTTATCTGCTGCAAACCCCATTGCGACTCCTTAGTAAATATGAATACATGCAATTTCACAGTTTAGCGCCAGAAAATGAGCCACAAAACTTTAGTAAATGTCCCACTATGAGTGTTAATGGCCATTTATGGAAGTGTTTCCTCCTGCCACCGTCACAACACAGTATTTATCCCTAGTGAAACTCCAAATCACTGGCACCCTACACACATGGAAGGTCATATGTTCTCCAACAAAGGCTCTAATTGTCATTCATTGTGCTTTGAGTCATTGCCAGCATTTGAGTCAGTGTTGTCACATACTGAAAGCTATCATCATCTAGGGCGCAGACATGCTGCACATAATAATTAGTGTTAATTTATAGGCTTGACAGTGCTGTGCAGCAGTGATACAGGGTAGCTATGCTGAGTATGAGCTGAGTATGCAAAAAGAACTGTGAATTTGAGTCAAAATGTATGATACACATGATGATTTGCTGGTTTGTGTCAGGTGCACTCATGTATTAAATATTCTACCAACATATTTTGTTCACTGCCTTGAAATTAAAGTATTTTGGGAAAGAAGTGATATGAATCTGACAAACAAACATATTTGTTGTTTAGTAAATGACATAAAACTTCCCAGAACTATAAATGTTCAATCAAATGCTCCAGAATTTATTGGATCATTAAATTTTCTTATGGCTCAGTACAATTTGTTTTTTTTACTTCTCTCTTTATCTTCTCTTAGATCTTGGTCAATGTTGGCAGCCATTTTGATCCAGCTAGGAGTATCTTTGTAGCGCCCAGAAAAGGAGTCTACAGTTTCAGCTTCCATGTTGTGAAAGTTTACAACCGACAGACAATACAAGTAAGAAAAACAGCCCAGGAACAGCTGGAATAATAGGTACAGCTAGGTACAACTCTTCAAAAAAGAAATATAGTGTATTTAAAAATGATAAAACAACTCCTTTAAAAAGAAATCCCAGCTGTAGTATAGGCTGCTTTGTGTTTTTTATTTATTTAGTTAACTAGTTTGCACAATTACTGTACTTTACGTACGGTAATTGTGCAGTAGCTACTGAGGCTGCTGCTCAAACCTCTTAATATGGAATTTGTTAACAACATTTACCTCAGGTTAAGAAAATTCTCTAGCCAACAGGCAAACTCAATCTTAATACAACTAAGTGAATAAACTGACAAGTGTCTGTCTGTCCAGTTAGAAACATCCTGACAAGATGACATTTTTGTCAAATTCAAGGTTTTGATATAACAATGACGACAGTATAGATTTAATTCATGTCTTCTAACCATCATTTCCCTATAAACCTCACCTTTCTTAACCTTACCTGCTTGATCTTTCCCAGGTGAGTTTAGTTCTCAACGGCTGGGCGGTGATCTCCGGCCTTTCAGGGGACCAGGATGTGACCAGGGAGGCAGCCACCAATGCCGGGCTGGTGATGATGGAGAGAGGTGACAAGGCTTACCTCAAACTGGAGAGAGGGAATCTGATGGGAGGGTGGAAGTATTCTACTTTCTCCGGGTTTCTAGTGTTTCCCTTATAGAGAGGGCAACACCTATTAAAGAAGGCAGGGTATAAAATAAAGGGGTAAAGTTTTACTTTAAGTCCTTGACATAAAGAAAGAACATCAATGGATATACATCAAACTCCACACTGAAGCTGGGAACCATATTAAACTGCTTGGATACATCTTCATATGTATCAGATGAATGATGGGTGAATTCACTTTACACCAAAAAATCTTGAATGTCCTTTCCATTTCTACTGCACTTTTATGGCTTATAGTCTACTGTCTTACCATTGTAACATCATCTGTGCTTGCTTAACCCAGGGGTCGGTCTGTTGGAGCTTTGTGCTCTTCTTTTAATGCATGAAATATGGAGTGGCAAACTTTTGTGGCAATAAAGAAAATTATTGTATTATTCTCTGATTCTCTCTCTCTCTCTCTCTCTCTCTCGCTCTCTCTCGAAGATGAATATAATGTTATGAGACATGGTATCTGTTAGCTAGCTAACAAAACCTGTTTTAAATGTTAAATGCATATAAATTTATATTTGAAAACAACAAAATGCTTTTTGCTTTTGTAACGACACACTGATCGGAGGTTAACCGAAAACTAAACCACTTTGTGTTTACACTGAATTCTAATTATTTAATTTATTCAGCTACAGGCCTATTTTTGACTTGTCTGATAACCTTTTATTAAATTTTATTCGGTTTTGGTGTTTACAAAAAAAGTCTGGATATTTTAAATTAAGTTTAGAAAAGGTTTAAATTATCATCTTAATTGATTTCCATCTCCACTTTCATGGTTTTGCTTTTACAGTATCGGCGTCTATTGAGGCTGGTAAACCTGCTACTAGTTTTATGCAAAACATTACAAGCCCACCCTTGTTACCTGTTCTTACCAAGCCTTTTAGTATTTAAGCTAATATTTCCCTCACAGGCTTTCACATTTATCTATCTGACAAGGACATTCTTACCACGTGACCTTCATAATTGCTGACACCCTTGCAGCCTCCAGTCCACCACACTTTACATACAGTCTATAAATCACTCTATGCAGACAGACGGTTGTTCTGAAGACAGGAGGCATTGCTGCTGTGAGCCGCAAGAGGT